TATTATGTCTCTAAGAAAGTTATAGAGTCCACAAACTATGGGATATATCTGAAAATTGATCAATCCTAAAGTACTGACAGCCAATCTAATTTCTTGAGGCCCAAAAATGTCAGAACAGTACAGATATCCCCCAAATGACCCCTTTTTGCAAAGTAGACAGTTCGACATATTTCATAAGAGGCATGGCGAGTTTTTTGAAGTTGTAATTTTTTTCTCATAATTTTTTTGAAAATTAAGAAATTAAAAAAATTATTTTCACAAATTTTTTTTTTCATGCTGTCACCAGTGCATTACAGTGTCATCATATAACTGGTGTTGCAGTGATTAGGGACACTGACTGGTGACAGTATGCAAAAAAAAAAATTGATAATTTTTTAAAAAAAATTTTTTTTATTTTTTAATTTTTTATTACATTTTTTTTCTTTTTTTTAAGATTTTTTTTTTCATATTACACTATGACCAAAGTAGTATAATGTTACCATAGTAACATTGTACTACTTTGGGGAAGCGATCAGTATTTTTTTTTACACAATTTGATTGCTTATAGCAAATAATTTCTTTGCTGTAAGCAAGCATTTAACTGAATGAAATCGATTCATTCAGTTTTTTTTATTGTGATTTTCTGTGATTGGCCACGGCTAATCACATGACACAGATGGGCTGTGATTGGCCCAGCCTGTGTATGTGATCACTGTGACCATTCACAGCTAGACACACTTGTATACAATGGATGGCATAAAAGGAAGCCATCCATTGTTTACAACTGTCATTTGACCTGCTGTGATTGGTCACAGCAGGTCACATGGTACTGGCAACTGGCAACTGGCAACTGGGCCAGTAAACACAGATCTGTCTTCGGCTGTGTCCAAGGTACACAGCCGGTGACAGATCTCACTGCAGCATGGCCCTGCGGGCACGCACAAGGCATGATTCGGGTAGGACGTCATATGATGCCCTCCTGGATCGACGAGAGTCCCAGTCGGCCGTCATTTTACTATAGGCGGGAAGTGGTTAAATTAATAAAGAAAATTGCTAAATCAAGGTTTGATCTAGGTCAGGTCAGGTTTAGTGTTAGGTAAGGGTCAAGGGTCAATGTAAGGGGTTTTAGGTAGGATAGAAATTTGCACTATTGTTTCTGGGCCCTACTACTGGGGCATTGGTGGATCCAGGTCACAACCATACAAGGATGCATGTTACTTATCATCTTTAAACATCTTGTCTACCGTTCACTGTCTGGTAGCTTGTCTCTCTTGGCTTCACCTCTCCCCTTGTCCCAGCACTGACTACTTTCTAGCACTGAGCCACAGCTTGACAGTATTCACAGTCGGAAGAGCCAGTGGAGATTACATTCCCCCTGTTGAGCCTTGGCTCTATAGCGATAGCTTTAACAGTCTGTGCAGTGCCCTGCTAGTTGATTACAAGCTCTGCCTGCCTAGTAGGTAATGCTTACTTCACAGGCAGCTACATTGTACACTATCCACCCTACCAGGCACAGAGCAGTGCTGCACAGCTCTGTGACATCTATAGATGTCAAGTCATGGCTCAGAAGGGAGGAAATAATCCCACTGGCACACTGTGCGCACAGTCCAACAGCAACCCAATAGAGCAAAAGCTGCAGCCCATTGCTGGGCTATGGCTCGGTGGTTGAGAAACACAAGAGTGTCTTCTTAGTTATGTTCTGGATACTGTTTTGTTTTCTTTTGTATATAATTTGGACAACAGCATAAAAAAATTAGAAAATAGCAAAACAAATATAGTCATTATACTATCTATTTTTGTATATTCTTTGCAGGTGTATTTTACAATTTTTTATGTTTCTTAACATGTAATAGGAAAATACACAAATCTAGGGAAAAAGAGGTTAATAAATGGTGCACTGTCTCCTTAAATAGATTTTGATAGTTCTGGATGGGGCTCTGTAGTTTGGAGATTTCAAAGTGCCTTGGGAGGGAAGAAATCTCCAATCCTGTGTCCAGATTTTGTGGTCAACCAACAGGGTGTGGGCCCAAGTGCTCACAGCCCTTATCATGATGGTCTGCTGAGAGTTGCATGGGGGGAGTGGAGTGCAGTTGGAGTAGTGGCTGCCATTGTGAGTCTCTGTGTAAGACAAATGCGGTGTGCATCAAAAGGGCTTAAGGCTGCGTGCCTTAAAGAAGTCTGAGGCTGTGTGCCAGGATAAGCCAGGGGTCTGGGAGATCCACACCAACAGAGGTACTGCTGACCAGCAGTGCTAATAAGGAGTAGCCAGGAGGCGTAGTATTTTTCATGTGGATTTACAACTGGAGAAGAACCCCTGTGTGGGAAAGCTTATTTTGGACTTCTGTTTCTTGCCGTTAATAAAATTGGGCTACCAAGGCCTGAAAAAGAGTCTCTGACTAGCGTGGACTCACTTGAAAAGCATCTACCACTAGAGCTAAACATCCCCAAATATCACTATATATATATATATATACACAGTATCTCACTGAAGTGAGTACACCCCTCACATTTTTGTTAATATTTTATTATATCTTTTCATGTGACAACAATGAAGAAATGACACTTTGCTACAATGTAAAGTAGTGAGTGTACAGCGTGTATAACAGTGTAAGTTTCCTGCTCCCTCAAAATAACTCAACATACACCTTTAAGTGAAAATATCCAAACTGGGCCCAGTTAGCCATTTTCCCTCCCCGGTGTCATGTTACTTGTTAGTGTTACAAGGCCTCAGGTGTGAATGGGGAGGAGGTGTGTTAAATTTGGTGTTATCACTCTCACTCTCTTATGCTGGTCACTGGAAATTCAACATGGTGCATCATGGCAAAGAACTCTCTGAGGATCTGAAAAAAAGAATTGTTGCTCTCAGGGGCGGACTGACAACTCATGGGGCCCCCGGGCAATAGGGGATCATGGGGCCCCTGTGTCCTTGCCCAAACTCAAAAAAGCCTATGAAAAAGGTACCAGGGGCATCTCATGGGGCCCCCTACTGACCCTGGGCCCTCGGGCAGTGAACCGAGTTTCCAAATGGTAAGTCCGCCCCTGGTTGCTCTACATAAAGATGGCCTAGGCTATAAGAAGATTGCCAAGACCCTGAAACTGAGCTGCAGCACAGTGGCCAAGACCATACAACGGTTTAACAGGACAGGTTCCACTCAGAACAGGCCTTACCATGGTCGACCAAAGAAGTTGAGTGTACGTGCTTAGCATCCTATCCAGAGGTTGTCTTTAGGAAATAGACATATGAGTGTTGCCAGCATTGCTGCAGAGGTTGAAGAGGTGGGGGGTCAGCCTGTCAGTGCTCAGACCATATGCCGCACACTGGCATCAAATTGGTCTGCATGGCTGTCATCCCAGAAGGAAGCCTCTTCTAAAGATGATGCACAAGAAAGCACGTAAAAAGTTTGCTGAAGACAAGCAGACTAAGGACATGGATTACTGGAACCATGTCCTGTGGTCTGATGAGACCAAGATAAAATTATTTGGTTCAGATGGTGTGAAGCGTGTGTGGCAGCAACCAGGTGAGGAGTACAAAGACAAGTGTGTCTTGCCTACAGTCAAGCATGGTGGTGGGAGTGTCATGGTCTGGGGCTGCATGAGTGCTGCTGGCACTGGGGAGCTACTGTTCAATGAGGGAACCATGAATGCCAATATGTACTGTGACATACTGAAGCAGAGCATGATCCCCTCTTCGGAGACTGGGCCACAGGGTAGTATTCCAACATGATAACGACCCCAAACACACCTGCAAGACGACCACTGCCTTGCTAAAGAAACTGTGGGTAAAGGTGTTGGACTGGCCAAGCATGTCTCCAGACCTAAACCCTATTGAGCATCTGTGGGGCATCCTCAAACAGAAGGTGGAAGAGAGCAAGGTCTCTAACATCCACCTCCGTGATATCGTCATGGAGGATTGGAAGAGGACTCCAGTGGCAACCTGTGAAGCTCTGGTGAACTCCATGTCCAAGAGGGTTAAGGCAGTGCTGGAAAATAATGGTGGCCACACAAAATATTGACACTTTGAGCCCATTTTCACTTAGGGGTGTACTCACTTTTGTCGCCAGCGGTTTAAACATTATGGCTGTGTGTTGAGTTATTTTGAGGGGGACAGCAAATTTACACTGTTATACAAGCTGTACACTCACTGCTTTACATTGTAGCAAAGTATAATTTCTTCAGTGTTGTCACATGAAAAAATATAATAAAGTATTTTTAAAAATGTGAGGGGTGTACTCACTTCTGTGAGATACTATATATATATATATATATATATATATATATATATATGTATATATATATATATATATATATATATATACAATATATACACACACACACTATGTTGCAAAAAGTATTGAGACACCTGCCTTTACATGCACATGAACTTTAATGGCATCTCAGTCTTAGTCTATACAGATTCAGTACTGTGTTGGCCCACCTTTGCAGCTATAACTGCTTCAACTCTTCTGGGAAGGCTGTCCACAAGGTTTAGGAGTGTGTCTATGGGAATGTTTGACCATTCTTCCAGAAGCTCATTTGTGAGGTCAGGCACTGGTGTCACACGAGAAGCCCTGGCTTGCAGTCTCCACTCTAATTCATCCCAAAGGTGTTCCATCGGGTTGAGGTCCGGACTCTGTGTAGGCCAGTCAAGTTTCTCCACCCCAAATGCGGTCATCCGTGTCTTTATGAACCTTGCTTTGTGCACTGGTGCGCAGTCATGTTGAAACAGGAAGGGGCCATTCCCAAACTGTTCCCACAAAGTTGGGAGCATGAAATTGCCTAAAATGTCTTAATATGCTGACGCCTTAAGAGTTCCCTTCACTCGAACTAAGGGGCCAAGCCCAACCCCTGAAAAAAAAAACCCACACTGTAAACCCCCCTCCACCAAACTTTACACTTGGCACAATGCAGTCAGGCAAGTAATGTTCTCCGGGAAACCGCCAAACACAGGCATGTCCATTGGATTTCCAGACAGAGAAGCGTCATTCGTAACTCCAGAGAATACATCTCCACTTCTCTAGAGTCCAGAGGTGGCGTGCTTTACACCATTGCATCTGACACTTTGCATTGCACATGGTGATGCAAGGCTTGGATGCAATTGCTCGGCCATGGAAACCCATTTCATGAAGCTCTCTACGCACTGTTTTTGGTCTAATCTGTAGGCCGCACAAAGTTTGAAGGTCTTTAGCTATTGACTCTGCAGACAGTTGGCGACTTATGAGCACTGTGCGCTTCAGCATGCGTTGACCCTGCTCTGTCATTTTACATGGCCTACCACTTCGTAGCTGAGTTGCTGTTGTTCCCAATTGCTTCCACTTTGTTATAATACCACTACCAGTTGACTGTGGAATATTTAGTAGCAAGGAAATTTCACGGATGGACCTATTGCACAAGTGGCAACCTATCACGGTACCATGCTTGAATTCACTGAGCTCCTGAGAGTGATCCATTCTTTCATAAATGTTTGTAGAAGCAGTCTGCATGCCTAGGTGCTTGATTTTTTACACCTGTGGCAATGGAGGTGATTGGAACACCTATTCCAATGATTTGGAGGGGTGTCCCAATACTTTTGGAAATATAGTGTATGTGTTCTGTACAGGACGTCGAAGATGGGTCTTGGACTGGCACTATGTTTCACCCATATTTGGGTTGCGGTCCCTTTAACCACTTGCCGACCACGCTATAGGAGAGTGATGGCTACAGCATGTCCATCCAGTTCTGACAATAGAGTTCTGTCTATTGACATCCTTCCAGAACCGCAACCCCCCCCCCCCCCCATGTGCCTGCTCTCTGTGATCTCTGTGCCCTTTGGACATAGCTGATCGCAAGTCATGGTAATGGCAATTACAGAGGTCCTTTATTATCATCAGGGCAGCCTATCAGTACTAATCAGTGTTGCCTATCAATGCCCATCAGTGCATTTTATAATAGAAACATTTTTTTTTTAATTTATGGTCTTTTTCATTTGTTTAGAAAAAATAAACCACTCAGTGGTGGTAAAATATCACCAAAAGAAATTTTAATTAAAAAATTTTATACACCTGTGGCCATGGAGGTGATTGGATCACCTGAATCAAATGAATTGGAGGGATGCCCCAATACTTTTGGCAATATAGTGTGTGTGTATATATATATATATATATATATATATATATATATATATGGATTACCAGCACCTAGGTGCAAAAAAAGGTGAAAACAGTGGCAATTGGCAAAAAAGTACAATACAAAGGGGCTGGTTTACTAAAACTGGAGAGTGCAAAATCTGGTGCAGTTCTGCACGGGAACCAATCAGCTTCTGTCTTCAGCTTGCTCAATTAAGCTTTGACAATAAAACCTGGGCTCTGATTGGTTTTTTTTTTTGCAGAGCTGCATCAGATTTTGCACTCTACAGTTTTAGTAAATCAACCCCAAGTGCTTCAGTAAATTGAATTTCATTTCGTTAGGATGTATATCGACTTTATAACAGACCTATGTTTTGTCCACTTAGGGCAAAGCAACAAGTTTGCTTTAACCCCCTCCCCCAGCAGTATGTACTTATCTTACCTTTACCATGCCAGTGCTCTGTTCAGCATCAGAAGTAAAAGGAAATAGAATTTCTAGGTATCAAGGGGTATGCAACTCACTCCATGTGACAGTGCTATGCAAACTAATTGGCTGTTGTTATTTTATGAACAATTAAATAATTTTTGGACTCATATAACCATTGATCTGGTGCTTGCTGTGTTTGTACATGTCTTGGAACAATCATTGATGTCACGTAGGGAGCCCATTGCACTGTGTGAGCTATGACTTCAATGACTTGTAGCTTACACAGGACTTTCTGTTTGCTTCTAAGTTAGAACTGCAAAATAGGGCCCTGAAATAATAAAAATACTGTATAATTTTTGCTGTTGATTATTTATGGTATATTTTATGAAATCATTCCCTCACAAATATAACAAATGACAAAAAACAGATTTTATATTAAACACTATAAAATCAGATGAATATAAAATTGCAAATAGTTTTTATATAATTTCATAAATATGATGCCTTAATCCTTGTGTACATTTTCTCTTTCACAAATGTGGTAATTTCACAAAATAACAAACGTATTCTAATAGAATACAGTAAATTCTGAAAAGTTTGTAGGTATGTTGGAAAAAGGTTCACTTTTTCCCAGCTTTTTGATCTGTTTTTTTTTTTTATTTTTCACAATCTGTTAAATTTTTTCCAATTTCTTCCTTTCACTTCTAGATTACTTTGCTCTTTACCATGCTAAACTTTTAGAAAGTTTTTTTTTTTTATTAATGCCAAATAGGGTGAATTCTAATTAAATTAAATTATTTATCCAAATGTTATAAAGATAATGCTAGAAGTAACATTCTTTTTCTACTGCCTATGAATGCTTGAAAATTCAGATTTTAACATGTTAAGATGTTGTTTACAAAAGGGATAGTATTTATTACTGTTATAAATATATTTAATGAACACATTAGGGAGAACAATATCAGCATGTTGTGTAAAGCATTTTAGAAGTTTGAAATGTAATTCTGTAGGTTTAGTTGTACATGTAAACAGCTTTTGAATGCAAGATACATTTGCATAACTAGGACATTATGTAAATAGTGTGCAGTTGAAGAAAGAAGTGTGCTATAATTCATATTCCCTGTATTCTGTTATCAGTGCTTTCCGTATATATTGATATATTTTGCATGAACTGGAAAAATATGATAACATCTTTACTGGGTTTTAGATGAAACAGGATTGGCACTATGAAAGTTCATTTTTAATTTACATTTTTTTTTTCCATTTCCAAATGAAATAAGAAACCATGCCTCTCTAAGTATTCAATTTACCGAACAGTGAAATTACACATTTAAAGTGTATACAGAGCAAACATTAGGCTGTTTTCGCACTGCTCTATTGCAAAGATGCGGTAAAAACACATATGAGTCTTTGCCAAGTTTTTGCCCTGTTTCTGGTACATTTTGCACCTGTTAAAAAAAGGACATGTGACTCAAAAAATGCATAAAATTCACGCTTTGCCCCATTGACTGTTCTGATACATACTGCATCTTAAGCTATATGCCTATCTTTCTAGCTTGGCTCATACAAAATGAAGTGAGCTATTTATCCGCAATTATCCACTCCACTTCCCCTCACTACCTTACACAAAGCCCCCCCCCCCCTTTTTTTTTTTTTCTCTTTTCCCTTCACTCCTCCACATTCCCCTCTCCCACTATACCACCCTACATATCCTTCTCTAACTGCCCCTCTCTCTGTCTTATCTCTAGTTCACACCTGTATTAAGCACTTACCATTTATATACCACCAACAATACAGCGCATTGACCTTCATACCCGTGTGACATACTTCACATAACTCACATACCCAATCTATGGACACACAAACTATAACATACACAGCATCATGTGCTATCCTTACCCAACATTCCACAACATTCCACACTCCCTTAACATAGAAGACAATCTACCATATTGACTTATCTCTTATACTCTGTATATCTGCTGGGTTGCAATATACATTTGTTATAATGTCATATTCTGTTCTGATCTGTATTGCAGTTTAATCCATGACCCGTCTGTGAAACGGGAGGCTACATGTTATGTTTATGTTCAGACTGTGATCCATAACTGTATATGCACTGATATGCCTTTTTTCTTCTAATAAAAGTATTTTTTGGAAAAAAAAATGCATACAAAATGCAATTGCTGGTGCTTTTTATATGAATTTTTGTTATGCTACATTATTGATGCATTTTCCATTCATTTCAATGGTGAGGTGCTTTTTTGGTGCTTTTTTTTTACTGCACCAAACATGTATTAAGCATGCAGCATGATGGACTTTTAAAAATGAAACTGACCAGCAACAGATTGGTGTGAAGAGCTCCATGAGATTTAATGGTTAGGTATATTATTTCTGCTTTTGGTAAGGCAAAAATGGAAGAAAAACTGATCAGTGTGAAAGGGCCCTCTTATTTCCAATTAGTGTACTTAATTACTGAAAGTACCATGATTTCTTTTGTCATTCTAATACCTTTACTTTTAAGCATTACTAATTCAGTTACTCTCTGTCCAGAAAACAGAGTGAGGACTGGGGAGTCTGCTGCTTCCTATAACCACACTGCATGCAAGGTACACATCAGAAGAATACCTGGTGTGGCATGGATCAGACCTGGAGACCACTTATGAATTTATTTTAGTTAAAGTGTTACTAACATGCTTGTTATACTCACTGTGGAACCTAAGGGGTTAATCCTCCGCATTGTATAAAAAGTCTGTTTGATCCTTTCTTCTCTGTTCCTCCACTTTTCTTAATCGACTACCACTTATCTCCAGACCGAACTATAGGCATTGTGGGAACTAGCACCAAGGGTAGAGCTTTTGAAGCACACAGTCACTCACTTCCTTATTTTTAAAGGCCGTTTTTGCCCAATTTTATTTAAAAGAAAGTTCCATACAACATAGGTTTCCCACGCAGGGGTATCCACCATCAATGCAAACGAAAACAAAGATTCAGCCTCCTGGTTCTCTTCAGCAGCACCGCTGCTCAGGCTTCATGCCTTGGTCCTCTTGACCATTCACATGCAACACACTGCATCTGGGTTAGCGCCCTTTCACAGCACTCCTGCTTCTCCAACCCGCAGGCTTGGGCCCTCTGTCTGCTCTGTCAGACTTCTCTGTGCCACCATGCACACTTGTGGCTTCTCCCTTGCACCCCAATGGACTCCTTGGGAGGGTGAAGCCCAGAGGTCCACACACACCTGACCAATCAGTCTCCTGGCCGTTCACAAAACCTGGTCCAAGGATTGGAGATTTCATCCCTCCCAAATAACTTTGAAATCTCCAGGCTCCAGGTCCCAAAATGGACTTTACAAACAAATGAGGAAAGTAAAAATCCAGTTTCCTCTGTATTAAACAAGTACCCTGGAGGCCCTCAACCTGCCTTGTTGAGAATCCCGGATGAAATATCCTTTCTACACTGTGACAGGTCGCCACTGTTACAGCATACACATGCTCAGTTTGGTGTATATTGCTACAGAGGTTTTTTTTTTTTTCTTGGGAGAGTGCATGAGATCAGCACAGGGCCAATCAGCACTGTCCAGACAGAGGTCAGGGGTTTTGCATCCTGCTAGAGCAGAAAGAAAACTCCTCCTACAAGCTTTAGCTAGTGCTGGGCTGGACACTGATAGAAGCCACAAGACTGCTCTAACTGCTGATGAGAAAAGGTATTTAGCAGTTTATATTTACTAAAATAATTGCATTTCCATGTTCTGTGTACTGTGGGAGACCGGATTTAGTCAATGCACGGTCCTGGGTTTAGTAACACTTTAAATAATAGAGAACAAGGGAGTGAACTTAAAAAATGGGTATCATACAGTCACTATATGACTAAAGATTTGTGGAACTGGAGACTGATTAAACATTTCAATGGACAAGGGCCAACACCTACCTGCAGTTCTCCTGTTACACATAAACTCTCTATCCATGCCAACACTGCTTCTAGGGGGGTTATACTGAATAGCTAGGTGACAGACAACACTGGGTATCTGTGGTTTACTGAGCACTCATTTTTGTGTGTATGGAATAGTATGTCAGGATATGATATGATTAATATTCATCAGTCAGCAGCAGCAAATCAAAAGTAAAATTATGGACACTGAAGCTGATCTGTGGTCATTTTGTATCATTTTCAGAGCTGAGATTTTGTGAAATACATAAAAATCAAGAAGAAAATAATCCCAAACCTTGTTCATCTTCACAAATCACTGCCAATTTCCTTCCCATCCCTAAATGTAGACTTTAAATTTGACTTTGATTGCTTAAAATCCATTACTTCTGTATGTGACAATGACCATATTACCCACTACAAAAATGAAGACATTATTAGTAGCAGTGCTAACTTATATAGCACTACCCCCTCACGAGTCACTGAGTAATTTTTGGGATCCCTGTCTTGCCTGACCACACTCTGAAAGTCCAACCCCTGTAACACCACCTTAAACCTCCAGTTAGAGGAACCCTCTGGCTGCAACCACAAATTAGACTCACAGACAGTTTTGAGTAAACTGATTTCTTACTTGT